CAAATACTTAGCTTTACAGCAATAGGTCAGTTACTTGACAATGTAACAAATTATATAAGGAAAGAAAGAGTTCCTGCCCACCAACAGCTTACAATCTAAGCTTGGATTTGATTGGAATGATCATACAGACTCACTCCAAGCCTACAATAATAACTTCTCTGACTTGGTAAAACTGCCAACATGTAACATATAGCAGCTAGTTATCTGGCAACAGAGAAGGACAAATGGTACATTAGTTTAATTAGGGCTCCGTTCACACATCTACTGCCAACTCAAATCATTTGTTTGAATTTTAAGCTCTCTTGCCTTCATTAGTGCCTGTCAGTAAGTGACAATGTGTACAAATTTCTACAAGTATGCTTAAATCAACGCACTTACCTTTCCTGGGTATTTTTGTATTTCAACACCTCTAATTTCAGCAAAAGTTTTTATAACTTTAAGCCACCAACTACTGTTAACAACAGAGTTAATGGCTAAGTTAATTGCATTCTCCTTGTGATCCAAACCTACATGCCTACACATTGGCTCTGGCTGCTTTTTAATCTGGCCAAAAATCCACAAAGAACTTGTACCTGAGCTCATGAACATTTCAGACAATTCCTTATCCTTCCTTGATGAGCCCATTTACCCCCCAAGGACTTGTTATATTATGATCCTCAGTTTGAGTTTTGACTATATTATTGATAGTGATTCTAATCTGCATGTATGTGGCACTAGCCATTGTTGCATTTGAGATTTTAACAAAAGGAGAAACTGAGGCAGAACTCTCGGCAAGATAACATTGATTAGCAAGGGCATGCTACCTGTCAATAAATGTGTCAACAGCTTGGCTCCATGAAAGTCAAAGACTCCAAGCAAAAAGACAATTCCCCTTTTGAAGGTTTTGGGGAGTACAGAACAAAGAACAGAGCAGGGCAGACGACAGAGCTGAGGGTCAGGGAACAACATGATTGGTTGGAATTTTAATAATGTGCGCTAGCAATGACCCGTCTTTCTTCTCTCATGAGACTAAGAAGTGCTCACAGTTCTGAGTGCAGGGGCAAGACAGCAGCCCAGACTTTTGGACAGCAAACCAGACATCCTTGAAGGATGAAGCTTGTTGGAGTAAAGAAACCAAGCCCAAACTCCCTTTCTGTTCACACACATTCTCCAAGGTCAGTTAAATTCCTTGAGCAGGGGAGCTGGATTTTTAAATTTAACCATTACAGTCCAGCTGATCTCGAACTATGTTCAGAGACAAAGAACCATGATTTAAGCAGTTACAGGACACAAGTAGTGAACAGGACAAAATCAATTACTTGTAAAGAAGATTGATAAGAAAATAATACAGGATCGATTTTAATCTTCTCACAATCCCTGTCTCCAAATCATAAATAGACTAAGGGGAGCTAGCCCTCAAGAGGTATGGTGGTGAATGAATGAATCAATGTGTTAATTCATTAAGCACTTAACTATGTACCAGGAATTGTGCTAAGTGCTGGGGATACATATAGAAAATTAAGTTAAGTCCCTAGGTTTAAGGAAGTGAGAAGTATACAAAGAGTACACCCTCATGAGTGCATAAAGAATAATATCAACTTGAAGTCAGGAGAGACCTCCCCCCCTACCCAAGACACCTACTAGTTCTGTGACCATCAGCGAACCACTTAAATCTCTCTGACCTGTGGTTCCCTCATTGGCAAAACAGGGAAAAAGCATACTCACCTCAAAAGATCCTCATCTGACAATAAGATGGGGATGTATTTAAATTCTAAATTGGGGCTTCTTAACCTTTTTTTAATGTCACAGACTCCTCAGTAGTCCGTGGAAGCCAGAATGAGCCTTTCTTAGTTTAATGATTTTAAATACATAAAATAAAATACACTAGATTACAAAGGAAAACAATTGTACTGAAATACAGTAATAGTAATATTCTTACATGATAGGTCACACAGCCAGTATGAAGTTGGTCAGAGGCAGAATTTGAACCCAGTTCTCACTGGCTCAGAGGCCAAATTCACTATCTGTGCTGTTTCTAATTAACTGTACACGGATTAAGAAGTACCCAACCAAATGGGTAACAGATGAACAAACGGTGCTATATGAATGCAGTAGAATTTTACGCAGCAGGAAATGTTGGATTCAGAGAAACTTGGGAAGACTTATATGAACTGATACAGAACAAAGAGAACAGAATTAGGAGAATTATTTAAACAGCAACATTTTAAAGAAAAACAATTTTCAAAGACCTATGAATTTCAATCAGTGCAATAGCCAAGGGTTATTCCAGAGGACCAATGATGAAATGTGCTACTCACCTTCCCACAGAGTGGTAAAGGACCAGAATGAGACATACATTTCCCAACACAGCCAATGTGAGGATCTGTTTTGCTTGACTATGCATATTGTTATCAGGGTTTTGTTTTTCTTTCCTTTTATTTTTTAAGGGAAGCAGGTAGGAGAAAAGGCTAGTAGGTCATAAGAAAGAAAGGAAGAAAAGAAAGAAGGAAGGAGGGAAGAAGGAAGGAAGGAAGAGAGGGAAGGAGGGAAGGAAGAAGAGTCACTGAAACATTTTCTTTAAAGGCACAGAATAAAATAAAATGCCAGAAGGAAACACAAACAGGACAGTTTTGACTACTACATGTACTTAAAAAGAAAATGCAAATGGAATGTAATAAAGAATACAGCTTTCAGGACCAAGCCAGCTACCACAGGCTTGAATGGAATGTCATGGTGAGCTGGTTTGCCCTGTATGAGTCATATCTCTGTTGCCCTGAATCCAACTTAATCTGTCTTCTTGAGCTGCCATATTTTCCAAAAACACCGAACCCAGAGTGTGCAGGAGTCCCTGAACGTGTCAAGGATGAAGCTCTCCACCGGTCACCCCTAGCTGTCAAAATTTGTCATTCACACCCCAAGCTGGACTCCCTGTGTGTCCTTCGGAGTCAAGACAAGCTCCAGTCAGTCTGCACGGACTGAGAAGCCACTTGGGCAGCTGGGACCCTTGGAGAGAAGCATACGATCCTATCTTTATGGTCTAGCCCAGGGGTAGGAAACCTGTAGCCACCTGTGGCCCTCTAGGTCCTCAAGTACAGCCCTTTGACTGAATCCAAACTTCACAGAACAAATCCCCTTAATAAAAGGATTTGTTCCATAAAACTACTAGATTCTAGCAGTTCCCAAGAAGCTGCTCTGGCCATCACCTTGCTTCTCCCCCTCCCACATTTACTGCACCTTTCCTCCTCCCATGCCACTCCCATTTAGGAGGAGACTTCTGTTTCCTCCTCTTTCCCTTGTACTGTCATAAATATACAAGCTTCTGTCTGGATTGTGAATGCTTTGCACTTGCTCAGGGCTCCACATGCATGTTCATTTCTCTCATAATAAACCTAGTTTTTCACGTTAAGTTTCATGAAGTTTCGATCGACTGCCTGTTTACAACTCGCAGGGTTATATGGTAGCAGCAGACATGATGCTGGTAGATAGGGACTAGGGGAAACAGCATCCCAAATAATGCAGAGAATAATAATGCACTGACAGGAGAACGGAGAAGAAAACTAACCAATCACTTCCAAGAACAGCTGCCGTGACAAACAGCCTCACCAATCTCAAAAGGCCCTGATCCTAAAGATGGGCCTGAGTCACCCACAAAAGTTTGGAATTGCATTTGATATGTTTAGGAAAGAAGCTCCTGAATATATAATACATTTTAGAAGGACATAAACCAAAAATGGTTAAAACAAACACGTTTCATCACTTCAAGTGGTAAGCATTATTTACCTTTAAATGCACACATCACACAGAATGCCTACTTCCCTCGTTAACACTTAAATAAGGGGAAGGGGGAGAGGGAGCAAACATTTATTAAGTGTCTACCATGTGCTAGGCCCTGAGCTAAGTGCTTTACAAATATCTCCTTTGATAAATGAAATTCTACTCTCATTTGTGTGCCAAGATCTGTTTGTATAAATGATTCACACTCTCCAAAGGGCTTTGTGAGTAGTAGTAATAACAACAGTTAATAATAGCTAACATTTCGATAGTGATAATTATGTGCCAGGAACCATGCTAAGCACTTCATGATTATTATCTCATTCAATACTCACAACTTTGGGGGGCAGGTGTTATTATCCCCATTTTACAGATGAAGATACTGAAGCAACCAGGGGTTAAGTGACTTGCCCAAGGTCACACAGCCAGTAAAGTGTCCGAGGCCAGATTTAAACGGTCTTTCTGACTCCAGGCCTGGTGCTCTACCCACTGCCCAACCCAGGTGCCCCAGCAGCAATATGTTCTGCTGTAGATTGGGGGTGAGAAAAACTAGCAAGGACATAGACAGAAAGGAAGGGGAATAGTCTGGGGAGCTTATGGACGTGGTCTTTTGTCCTCAATGAGGATAACAAGGTTTACCCCCATATAGCATTAAAAAAAAATCATCTGGAAAAGCTTCTGTCTGGCAGATGCCTCCTGTCACACTTAACCTGTGACCAAGAGCCCTGCACATGTGAAGACTATTGTTTCAGTTGATTCTATCTCAGGCATAACAAACTGAGAGAAAAGCTGACTGCAAAGCTTGTCCTAGTCAATCGACAATCAAACAGCATTTATTAAGCACCTGTAAAGACAAATATAGAAAAATCCCTGCCCTCAAAAAGCTTATACACCATCAGAAGAGAACATACATACACACACACACACACACACACACACACATATATATACAAGGATATGAAGAATAAGCATAAAATCAACACAGTCAATCAATATTTATTAAGTGCCTACTACATGCCAGGCATCATGCTAAGTGCTAGGGATACAAAGAAATGCAAAAAGATAAACTCTGCCCTTGAGGAGATTTATTCATAGGTTGATAGAGCTAGGAGGAAACTTAGAGGTTATTTAATTTAATATCCTCATGTGTAGAGATAAGAAAACGACTAAGCAGTGAGGTCTTTTTTTAAGCATTAAAATTATGAATAGTCACAAAGATTAGGTAAGAACAAAACTAACAATATGCTTACCTGCTATCACCAGCGTTGGCCACGTACAGCTTTCCCAACAGGCAGACAACGACAAGGGCCGTACAGCCTCCAGATATATTATATGTGCTCCTCTCTCGTTCGATCTGCAGGTCCTGAAAAAGAAAAGGATCACATCAGCTTGTCCTGTCAAACCGTTCCAAGAGCCGAAGACTCACCTTCGCCGTCATGGGATCTCCCTGTACTCAACTCATACACGAATTCACTCAATGTCTTTTTAAAAAAATTATGATGAACTTGACAAATGAGGAGGAGGAGGAGGAGGAGGAGGAGGAGGAGGAGGAGGAGGAGAGAGGAGGAGGAGGAGGAGGAGGAGGAGGAGGAGGAGAGAGGAGGAGGAGAGGAGGAGGAGGAGGAGGAGAGGAGAGAGAGGAGGAGGAGGAGGAGGAGGAGGAGAGGAGGAGGAGGAGGAGGAGGAGAGGAGGAGGAGGAGAAGAAGAAGAAGAAGAAGAAGAAGAAGAAGAAGAAGAAGAAGAACTTCTAGCATTTATAGAGTGCTTTATGGCTTGCAAAGTTCCACAAATACGGACATTTCAATATGCAAAGCATGAACAAGAGTGTTGCATATCTGAATGTCTTTCAAAGGAATAAAAGAAAAATCTTTTTTGGTGCTTTTCTAACAAAAAAAAAATGAACATTAAGTATAAGGGTCAATCTTAGCTCCAGGGAGGGATAAGAAAATTTACCTCCTGCCTATCAGTAGAGAAACAGGAACTATTACAAGTAATAATAATAATGATAGTTAAATTTTATAGAGAGCTTTAATGTTTACAAAGCACTTTACAAATAACCAGTCATTTGGCACCATCGTCATTCCTGTGTCATGTTCCATATCAGTTCAGATGGACTGCCTAGCCCTTAAAATGCCTAACCTCCTGGTGATGAGCTATGGGTGCATTTCTGTTGGCCCATTCACTTCTAGTTGTATGCCTCCCTACTCTCCCCTTTTCTACCTCTTATACTTTGTCGTTTGACTGGGATTCCTGGGAAACATGCTATTATTAGCCCCATTTGACAGATGCAGGCAGAGTTAGTTAAACAACTTGCCCAGGAACGCAAAGCTAGTAAGCGTCTGAGTCATATTTGAATTCAGGTCTTCTGGACTCCAGGCCCAGTGCGCTGTCTTATGTACCACCCTAGTTTTGTCATGTGTAAAATGGCAATACTAATAGAACCTACGTCCTAAGGTCGTTGTGAGAATCACATGAGATGAGTGTACAGTGCTTAGCACAGTGCCCGGCACAGAGTAAGTGCTTATGTAAATGTTAGCTATCATAATACTTACAAAATGCTATATGTGTTCTTAGGCATAGTCACTGAGATACTCAGTTTTGCTTAGCTGTCTTATTTTTTTTTTTTTACAAATAGGGATGTTTGTGTATATATCTGTATCTATCTATAGATGGATGGATGGATGGACAGACAGGCAGATAAATAGATAGATAGACAGACAGACAGACAGATAGATATGGCTTGGTAGGGTCATATCTGGAAATGCAGTGTGATGTCAAAACAAACAGCACTGATAAAACTTATTTGAAAAAAAGAAAGCACCTTACATTTACTTACCCCTCACATGATCCTGGCTCAAAGCGGGGAAATCCCAGTCAAAGGACAAAGTGTAACAGGTAGAAAAGGGAAAAGTAGGGATGCACAGAACTAGAAGTGAATGGGCCAACAGAAATGGACCCGTAGCTCATTACCAGGAGAATAGGCATTTTAAGGGCTAGGCAGTCCACCTGAACCAATATGAATGAAGATGGTGCCAAATGACCAGACCTGTCTAATACTGACCAGCCCAAAGCCTAATCACATGTGGAATGGAAGTCACTAAAATAATTAAATGCATTTAATATAGCAAGAAACAAAACACCCATAACCCTTGACAGTCTAATTAATATATGCCCACTGGCTCTGATCCTACTTATTCTTTTCCCACTACCGCCAAAGCAAATAGTGAGAAAGGTAACAAATCCCCAGGAGAATTCACAACAGAATTCAATAATATCTCTACTAATGAAGGAGGATGAATTCTGCTGATAATTTATCACCAGAACCTTCATCACTGAAGGCAGATAAAATGAGAAGGCTATATTCCATGATGCCACATAATAAAGGAAGGGGGTGGGAAACAGCAAAAATTTCACCAAATACTAACTAAAACACCAAACTCAAGATATGAGGTGTCCCAAGAGTCTTAGTGGCAGTTTTAAGCTTTAATAGCTGAATAGCTTAAAGAGATTGAACAGCTTCAAATCGCACTAAGTCTTTTGGGACACTCTATACAATTTGGGAAGACAGAGACAGGATTCAAGTTAGGGGAGACAGGAGAGAGGGATAAGTCTAGGAGAAAATGGCAATCTTTGACCCCACTCCTTACAACAGACCTATAAAATAAAGATGCACCATCCAGGACTAAATCCCCCATCCTTTGACTTGGATTTCTCTGAGAAACAGGGGCCATAGTTAGGGGAAGACTTTAAGGTTCACTACTTCAGGTAGGAACAAATCACTTAATCTCTCTAAGCCTATTTCCTCAACTGAAAAATAGGATATTAACAGTATCTATGGGATATCATGAGGGTCAAATGAGATAATGTATGTAAAGCACCACAATTTCTGCAAAATCAAAACCACAAGTGACCCAGATGGCATCTGGAAGGTATATAAGGGTTATGTAAGCAGGATGCTGAACATTACTAAAGAATGATATACATAGTATACATCTAAGAAATGCAAGCTCCTTGAGGACAGGGCCTGCTTTTGCCTTTCTTCGTATCTTCAACACTTAGTACAGTGCATAGTAATATAGTTATATGGTAAATGCTTAATAAATGTTTACTGATGGATCGAAATGTTTGACTAGAAAGGAAGCTAGCTGGTCCAGGCACTTAGAAAAAGTAATAGATAACAGTAGAATAGTATGTGAAACATACTGGTATCCACACCAATTTGAACAACGATTCTTAACCTGGAGTTTCTCAGAACTTTCAATTAATAATTATATTTTAATGTAATTTGGTTTCATTTGAAATCTTATGCATTTTATTTTATGCATTCAAAAATGCATGAGAGGGTGGTCCATGCTCCCCCTCAAAAGTTAATAATTACCTGCTCTAGAGAAAGCCCCCCAGAATGCTGGGTGGCTCCTATGTGGATGATTTATGAGAGGTGAGATTTAAGGGAAGGGAGAATGACAATGGGTTGATAGGTTACAGATCTGTACCTTAGGAAGGATTACCCACTTCAATGAGGTCATGGATCCATAGAAGTTAGCTGACATGACCCACCCAAAGTCACACAGCCAGTTCAGAAACACAGCCAGGACTCCTAGACCAGTGATCTCCCATTACACCTGGCTACCCAGCTACCCCTAGGGATACAATGAGTACTAGTAATAGAGGGAAGGGAATGGGAAAGGGGAGGGGGAGAGAAGGGGAAGCTACTGTACAAAGAAAGAGGAGGGGGAAGAGACAAACTTTAAAGACTTCACAATTTCCCAAGGCTCATTCCAGTTTATCTTCAACTGGATGGGGTAAAGGTTTGAAGCTGGTGTAGGTAATTTCTGTCACACAACCGCACAACCGGGCAACTCAGTTTGACATCATTAGTGAAGGCAAGGACGCGTAGACAAATGAATGAAAAAGCTTTTTATTAAGTGCTTACTATACAAAAAGAAAAGACAGATACAAATAGGAATAGGGATATAATAGACTCTAGATACAAAAAGAAAAGACAGATGAAAAATCCTCGGGATCAAAAGTCAGGAGACCTAGCCCTGGCACTGCTATAACTAGCCTTATGAACTTAGACCAGTCACAACCTATGTGGGCCTTTGTTTTCTTAAGCTCTGTAAAACAAGGAGATTGGACTAAATGATGCAATGAAACGGTGACATAAGGAAACTTTGTGTAAACTTGGAAATGCTGTGTAAACATTATCTGTACCGTTCAACAAATGGTCTATAACATACCACCTTTCCCTAACATATTGTTGTTTAAAAACAAAACAAAGACATGAGAAATATTGTCTTAGGGGAGTTTGTTTCACAAAAGATCAATCAATATACCCCTATACTGAAATGACCTAATTCAAAGTTAAAATGGTAGCACTTGAAATAAGGGTATTTCCTTAAAATATCATATAAATTTCACAAGTAGTAACTACTGTAACTATTAGTAAATTCTCTCTTGCTTTATAATAAGTGATATTGCCCGAGGTGTTGACCCTCTTTTTTTACCAATAGGATCAATATTTGTTAAATACTTAATAGTATGGATGAATGACAGCATTCACTAGATGTTTTGAATACTCATGCCTCTGCATACAATATGAGGATTTGAATCTGAATGCTGACGGTTTAAGAAACAATATTCTCCCTCTCCCTACTCTTTTCCCCCAAACTCCCCCCCTCTGTCCCAAGCCCACAAGGTCAATTACAAAACACTGCCCTCCATTTAAAAAAAAAAAATCTCTCTGGAACCCTTCCAGACAATCAAATGTAGACATTGTGGCAGGAGGTCTTATTCATCTTAGTTTGCATAACAAAAATGATCGGTCATATTATTATTCAGCCGTTTTTAGAAATCTAGTCACAATGCTCAACCCTACAACCTTCAGATTTAACTGGGGAATAGCAGTTCTCACTTTTAATTGGTAGGAAATTTACCATTTATTAGCTTTGTCAGTTGACAATGTGCTATTATGTATGGGGTAGAATAGAGAGAAAGTCCTCAAAAAACTTTTCATTATCACCCTTCATCCTTTATTAACTTTTTTCTGAATGCCCATTTTTGCAATGGCTTTTCAGAAATGCCAACTTTGCATGATAACCAGTACCTTTCTGCATTTTGTTCAAATAACTTTTCTAATGCATACGTACCTTCACTCATTACTGCCATCACACTCTCTCTCTCTCTCTCTCTCTCTCTCTCTCTCTCTCTCTCTCTCTCTCTCTCTCTCTCTCTCTCTCTCACATACACACACACACACATTTTAATTGCAAATAAGCTCCTAGGGATATTGACTAGGCACTGAAGGATATTTATTTTTGCAAGCTACGTCTCATGCCAGTTTCCCTTAAAGGAGAAAGGGA